CCCCCCCCCCGTTTGCTTATGACATAGTCTTATTTCTGGGTTTGCACCTATTAAAGGGCAATCTTTCTGGCTTTTTCTCAGAAGCATCAATGGAAGTAGGTGTCTCGCTCATGGCGAGAGAACTCCATCCCTCCAGGCCCACCCTGCCAAGGACCCAGCCCACAGGCCATCCCAGAGCTCAGTCCCCAAGGCTCGGCAAGACTTTGTCCCCACCTTCTCTTCATGCCCCACCCCTCCACCATAGACCAAACCCTCATTGTACCAATGTCCTATTTTTCTACAAGAGGCCTGGTCTGCACCAACCCAGCCTTCAAATTGCTGCCAGTCTAACTTTAATATGATTATCAATCACCCTGCCATGCTCAAAATCCCTCTGGCTTCCTATTGCCTTTCTCCCAGGCAAAACTTGGCAGCTACAAATATACCTGGTGCATCGCCAACTTCACCTGCCCTTACTACTCAGGTAAAGTCATTTCTTTTGCTTGCTATCACTCTATTTCTTGCTCATTCCACTTCTACATCACCACTCTTGCTGGTACCCTCTCAGGGAAGACAGACCCTCCAAGTTCCCCTTCACAATTCACAAGATCACATCTTGCCAGATGAAATGTATAAATGTATATAAATATATATGTGTGTGTACATATTTATACGTGTGTACATATGTGCACATATATATTTCCCCTCCTCCAGGAAGTGCTTCTTGAATGACTCTCCCCCCAGTTACCCCTGTAATTTACACGCTCTCGATATTTTCTTTGAAATAATGAAGGATGCTGCTCTCCAATTAGCATGCTTCCCATTTTGATTCTGGTTGGTTTATTCAGGAGCTTTTCTTTCCCAGTTTAAGTGCCAGTTTCTCAGAGACTGGGCTAGCCCTCCATTTCATTTCCATCCTCCAGAGATTCTCTCGTGGCGCAACCCTTGATGAGGTGTGCCAGACGAATGCTCACCCAGATTGGAGACCCAAAGCCGCTGAACAATCCAGTGTAGAACATCACTTCCTGCAAAACAGAAATATTTAGCCCTCAGCCGCCAACATCCATGCCCCTCCATCCTGCTGCTCAACTGGCCTCCTCCCTGCTCAGTTGTGACCTCATCTTTTCAGCTTGAAATTCCCAGGGATTCCCCAACACACACGCACACGCGCACACACGCACACACACACACACACACACACACACCTCAGCCCAAACTCTGCAGCCAGTAATTCAGGTCAGCCATGATGGGACTCCAGCCAGGTTTTCTATCTAAGTTTTCCTAAACAAACTCAATCTTCGCCTCTCTTGTGGCGCTTATTTCCTTACTTTACAATAACTTGTGCATGGTAAGTTATTATTATATATCAGCTAGAAAGTAAACACCTTGTGTCTTAACAGTGAAAAGACAAAGCCAGGTGCATGGCCAGCTGTCCTTGGGGCTCTGGGTGCAGCCTGAACACAGGAGAATAAAGCAGGAAACCAAGGTGGGAGACAGGGGAAGAGTTGAGGATGGGGGGCTGGTTCCCCTCCACCCCCATCCCTCTGCTCTGAACCCAAGGAGTCAGAGAATCCCAAAGTCAAACCTGGACTTTCAGGTCACTGTAAATGCACTTTTGTCAAAGTAGGAGGATGGGCCATATTTTAGCAACACTTGGTAGATGGATTGATCATTTCCCCAACGAGGGAACGTGGGCTCCATTTGCACTTTCACCCACACAAGCCTGGGATGAGCATGAAATAAAAGCAGAAGAAGCAGACAGGGTCGAGATCAGGAAAGAAGGTGCCCTCTCCCACTCACCCACCCCCCCCCTTCAAGGATTCAGATTTATCTCATAAGCAACGTAAGCCAAGTTCAATCACTAAGACCTGGGGGAGGAAAGCGGCAGGATCGCAGAAGAAAGACAAGGCGACCTGGAACCAAACGCTTCAGCCGCAGCTCATCTGGCAAACACCGTGACCACATACACCAGCGACTTCAGCCTGATGCACAAAGGCCACACTGCACAGAACCAGCCCACACATGCCAGAACACCAGGAAGGAGAATCAGCGCCTGCGTCTGTCCTTAGTGCTGGACTATTGAAAATGCCACCTCCCTCCTCAAAGGCTGAGCGGGGGCTTTCTTCTGCCGCCCTCCAGACAGGGCTGGCATGGCCCATCACACACTCCGGGCCTAACTGCCTGCCCACAGCATGGCCAAGGATGGAGAACCTGTAGCTCTTCCTTCCTACACCTGTCGACATGCCCTCCGTCACTGCTTTCAGAGGGCTCTCTGCTGTTGCTGTTAGCTTTATTTCTCCCTGGTGGGCTGTTCACCAGCAACATTTTTCATCTAAAACCTGACTTAATATCCTAGTGCTGGGTGTTTTAGACGTTGAACCCCAAGTCTCTCTGAATACTACAGAGAGGCATGCAGGCCAAGAGATACCCAGGCAGCCAGCAGAGGGAGGGATGCTCCCCACCCAGGAGCCAAGGGCTTTCACATCCACTTGACTGCTTCCTGAAATAGATCAAATGAGATTATGTCGTACCACGTGGTCTGTGCTGACAACAGACAAGCCGCTCAGCTCCCACATCAGCCACCTTCATCCCAAGAAGTCCTGGGTCTGAGAGTTAATGGCAATTATCCAATTTGCTTTTATTAGTGCTGATGCCACAGGGCAGGGCTTCTCTCTCTGGTCTGATCCAACAGCAGCTGAACCTGCCAGGGTGGCAGGAACAAGGGGAGACACGGCCAGGTGGGCAGCCACGTGCCAGGAAGGGGAGCAGCTCACACACAGGAGTGGGCAAGAGCTGGAGGTCATAGCTGGGCTCAAACTCAAGCTTCACTTGAGCTTTGTGGCGTTAGCAACATGAGGATATGTTGCTGAAGTTCTTTATGTCTCGTGGCCCCATCTGCGAGAGGGATGTTTTGTGCCCATCACTGATTTGACACTGGGGTGCTGACTGAAACCACGAGGGAAACTGTTAGCTGCCACAGCAACTAAAAAACCCACTGTGGTTTCCACTTGCACAGCACTATTATCTCATTTAATTCCTGCACTCTCTCTCTAAGACAAGGATTGCTATCCCTGCTTTTAAAATGAGAAAGTTGAAACCAGAGCTACATAGCTAGGATAAAGCATCCCCAAAATGCAATCCCAGCTTTGTCCAGTGTCCTCGGCCAGTACAAGACCAGGACTGATTCAAGCACTTGATCAGCTCCACCCTGACCCACAGCTATGCCAACCACTGGGGTTGCCCCAAGGAACAGGTGGAGCTATCTGTGTACCAATAAAACTTTATTGGCAAACAAAGGTGAGGGCCAGATTTGGTCCACAAGTTCTATTCTGCTGACCCTATCTATGGTCTGTTTGAGACCAGGACTCAATCATAAGATACATCACCTGTCATGGCGTGAGGGACACTTGTGACTAAGACCTTCTGGTTCTGCATCCGGACGCCCGTCTCTGGGTTCTGCATGTCTTTCACCAGCGCTTCAATCTGTAAGATAGAACCCAGAAAGCTGATGGTCAGGACCACTTCAAAAGTTATGCCAAAGTGCTCCCTTTTGAGATCTGAGGGATCAAACAGTGCTAAGATGAACACAGGAGAGTATAGCCCAGGTGAGCACTGAGTGATATGCAAAAGAGCTAATATAAGCTGTGCACACACCAACACGCTCCCTCTCTGGGAGCACAGAGCGATCCACTCCAACTTGGAGATTTCTGCAGAGGCTTTTAGGAGAAGAGGAGGCTTAACAGAAAAGGATTTTTCTGCAGAGAAAGGGAGAAAACAACACTGTCAAGACATGGGAGGGAGACCAGTGGCAAGAGGGCCAGAAATCAAGAAATCAGAGCAAGATGAGCCTGGAATTTGGAGACCAGATCACCACAGGCCCTTAAATGCTGCTCTCAAGAGTAGATTCTGTTCCAACAGCTACTTCTGAGAGGAGCATAATCTGGTATACATTTTGGAAATGTGGCCTATGCCAGAGAGAAGCACACAGATATAATAAGTTCACCCAGGTAGGATAAAAGCAAGAAGATTGTTTAAAACTATTGCAATCCTCTAAGGGAGAAATGACAGGGCTTGCAGCCCACTCCTATCAGCTGTGTCTACCCCTGCATCTGTTCTCAGCAGGACAGGTGGAGGGAGTGTTCCACTGACTTTAGAACATGCCAGTCCTCTGCTCAGCCCCTGCAGAAGCATGCCACCCAAAGGAAATGGCACAGTTCCCCTGCTGGTCTGTATTGGTTGGGATGCCCCCCACCTCCACCACCAACCTTCTAGCACCACCACCTGGCTCCCTCCGATGCAGTCACACTGGCCACCCGCCAGTGCTTGATCTCACCAAGCACACACCCAGCCTCCTGCCTCCAGGCCTTGGTTCCAACCCTGGACCGCTCTTCCCAAGGATCCATGTGACTCACTCTCTCACCCCCTTCTTCTCATTCACAAAGGCCCACCCTGACCTTACTACTTGATGCTGCATTGGAACAACACCCCTGATATTCCCAATCTCCTCCCTATTCACTTATCCTAAAACACTCATCTTTTAACATACCAAAAATAACCCATTTATATTTATTGTGTGTCTTCCTTGCTCCTGGAAAATAAGCTCTCCAAGGGCAGGTCTTTTGTCTGTTGTTCTCTGCTGCATTACAACTGCCTCAGATAGCAGACAGATGGTATTTAATATGTAGCTGATGAATGAATCAGTAAATAAATAAAGGCAGCAAAGAGAAGATGGTAAGAACATATAGCTTTCAAAGCCCCTGTGAGGGCAGAATTAACTGAAATTTCAAGTGATTGAGTAGTTCAACAGGCAACTAAAGAATAATACCAATAATTTATATGATTAGGGCTGCAGGTTACCAAATTAGAAAATGCAAAAGAAGGACCATCTTCTGAAGCAAGTGTTTCTGCTTTGGGATGTGGACTGTGAAGGACTGCTGAGATAGCCCCACTAGCTGGCAGG